GGCTCACAATGTTCCACAGACGACGGCCTGCGCCCCAAAGTCTCCAGCACATCCGTCTCGCACGGCGTGTGGCGGAACGGCAACTCGTGGCAACCCTTGGTCCTGTTCACAGCAACCTCGAGGAGTTCTATGCTTCTGTGCCTCTTCCTGATGGTCATAGGGGAGAGTTGAAAGTTGTGCGACCTAAATCGTTAGCAACGCAGTCACAAGCATCCACCCCGGGAGTGGCCATTGAGACCGTGCCTTCTTCTCCAGCGGACTGCGGCAACGCTGGTCATCCGTTGATTGTCCTCTTTCATGGCGGAGGATTCTCCAACGGCAGCGTCGATTACATGACTCGTCCGGCGCGAGATTTTGCGCTCGAATTCAACGCCGTGGTTATTTCTGCGACGTACCGACTTGCGCCCGAGCATCCGTTTCCGACTCCGATGCAAGATGCTTGGGATACGCTGGTGTGGTTGTCCCAGCACGCGGGCGAGTTTGGTGCCAACCCTACCCGGGGTTTTGTAGTCGGCGGAGTTTCAGCCGGAGGGACCATGGCCGCTGTTTGCAACCAGTTGGCACGGGATCGAGGACTCGCGCCACCGCTCACCGGGGCATTCGTGTCCATTCCTCTTTTGCTCGTCAAGGAGATCGTTCCGGACAAATACAAAAGGGAATGGACCTCGATGGAAGACAACATGAACAACCCATCCCTGAACCGAGACACGATCCGGCATATCATCCGCACACTCGACCCAGACACCCGATCCCCTCTTTTTTCACCTTTCAACAGCAAGACTCCTCACGCGGGACTGCCTCCGACATACGTACATGTAGGCGGACTGGATGTCCTGAGGGACGACGGCTTGATATACGAAAGGGCGTTGAGGGAAGCTGGGGTGCCGACACGGTGCGATGCATTTCCTGATTTGGGTCATGCTGCTTGGACTATCCATGCGACAGAGTACTCTCGACCACGACTAGGGCCGAAGATGATGGAAGCGATGAGGTGGCTGTTGGGTCAGGAAGGACTGAAGGACTGAGGTCACCAGTTGCGGCCACTAGACGGTGAAGTAGGCGCTTCACCAACTGTTATGCTCTTGCTTCTGGCCTGTGCTTGATATGGTAACTACTTACCCATATGTGCATTAGTTGACAAGGCTTCCTCTTACTTCTTTCCCTCACATTCTGGCATTTATACTCCACTGTACGTCCGCTACGGCAGACCAATCAATACCATGCGAATCTAAACTGTTTCAACTGACCAAGTATGCTCCTACAACAGCCTCCGAAGTTCTTTGTTTGGGAAAAATTACCCTCGCAGCCTCATCCCTCTCACATCTCTAGATGAAAGTGCAGTTTGACAGAGAGGGGCTGGCTGTGCGTTGGACCACTTTCCTCGCCTGTGCTCTTGTGTAACGATAACGAGCTCTGGCATCTCTGGAATCTGTTTGTGAACACTTTTCTGACAAGAGCGCATCATTTTCGATCATTGATGTTTCTCTAAAGCAGAGTACTATACTGGATGAATACCAAAAAGCAGGTCATCGCTATCGTCAGAGCCTATCGATGCTTAGAGGCTCTGACTCGTCGATTAGGGTTGCCCCTGCCAGGGTTAAATAAAATTCTATATCCCCTGGAGCGTGTTCGAGTAAGCAATGTATTCTCAAAACAAAATATCTACTGCATGGGTATGATTATGAACGCATGCTATCTGTTTCAACTCTGCAACAGAGCGCTCCAGCCTCGTGTGCCCAATCAGGCCTAGTGCCATCGAGGGGGTCGATATTACGTAACCAGGAAAAAGTGGAGAAACATCCCATCACATTTCCCCACACAACTGCGAAAATGAAATAAATTTCTGGAAATCGACATTTGTGCTGCCCGACCAAGGTGTGAAACAACCCCGGTTCTGGAATAGGAACGTGGCATGTCATTGCCTTATAGATTCAAGGCAGGAGGCACAGGAAACAGTGCCACAATGGCACACGCCACCACCACCACTTCTGTCCATCACCACCGGAGCACGACAAAGGTCGACCATAAACCCTTCAAGTCGCGGTTCGCCTCCAAGAGCGCCTTGAAGGACCAGGCAAAAGGTGAGGGAAGCCGACTCTTTCTGACACGATATTCTTGTTGATTTCTATTGCAGGCAAGGTCGAAAGTCAACGGTCCGAGAGAGGCCAGAGAAAGACCCCTCACCAGCAAGTCATGTCGAAATTGGCCAGACGCAACCAAGCCAAGCAACTGCGCATGCACCACAGGGACAAGAAGGAGGGGGAAGAACTCATATTCCAAGGTGTCGATGGGGCAGCAAAACATATTGCAGTGGTGCCGCTGTCGAATGACGTCGACCCATACTCGGCAATTAAAACACTGAATGAAAGTGTTGATGTTTCGGACTCAAGTGTCTCCTCTGGAACCGTGCCCGTCCGAGTGGACCGGTTCCGGCGAAATCTTCTCTATCTACCTGCTAAATTCGACCTTTTCAACGCTCTGGAGATTTGCAAGCTTGCAGACTGGGTGATTTTCGTCCTCGACGCGGAGCAGAAATACGGCGAAGAGGAGGATCTGTTTCTGAGATCGCTCGAAGGTCAGGGCATCACGAATGTGACAGCCGTCGTGCACAATCTGGATCAGAAAGTCCCAGCGCCCAAGAGGATGCGACATCTGACGGAGTTGAACATCGCTTTGGGCCGGTACTTTCCCGCCCTGGACAAATTGTCCAGCCTGGACAGCAAATCAGACTGCTCGAACCTGGTGCGGCGGATCTGCACAGCGTCGACACGAGGAATTCGCTGGCGGGACGACAGGAGTTGGATGTTGGTTGAGCAGGCCAATTGGGGTCCCCAAGTAGACGAAACAGCCGCGACCACCAACGTGACGCTGTTGGGGACGATCCGCGGGAAAGCCCTGAATCCGGATCGCCTGGTCCATGTCCCCGGCTGGGGAGATTTCCAGATTTCCTCGATCCGACAGGTGCCTCGCTCGGGACAAAAGAGGAAAGCGGAGGAGATGGACGCAGATGAGCCCATCAAGGAGTGGAAACCCACCGCGGACCAAGACGACCTGGCAGAGCTGGCACCCGAAGAAGCCGAGATGCAGGATGCGGCGAGCACCGTGGCAGCCACGGAGCATAAAGGGGTCCTCCTTGACGACCATCACTACTTTTCCGACGACAACTCTCACATCCCTCCCCGACCCAAGAAGCTCCCCCCAGGGACCTCCAACTACCAAGCAGCCTGGTTTCTGGACGACGTGTCAGACTCGGAATCGGATATGATGAGCGAGGACGGAGACCGCGACGGCGACGTAGCGATGGACGCCGAGCAAGACTCTCTAAACATCGAAGACGGCGGCAGTGTGACTGGAGGCAAAGCACCCTCGGAATATCCGCAATCAGAAATGAACCTCGACAACGATGACGATGAGGAAGGCAACGACGCCCCGCTCGAAGCGGAGGAAGAAGCACGCCAACTCGCCGAGTTCCGCGCCAGCCGCAGGAAGAAGGAAGCCGAAGAGGACCTGGAGTTCCCGGACGAGATCGAGCTGCACCCGGACGTGCTGGCGCGCGAGCGACTGGCGAAATACCGCGGACTGAAGAGCCTGCGGACCAGCGAGTGGAACCACGCCGAGGACGCACCCTACGAACCCGCCGAGTACAAGCGGCTGCTCCAGGTGCCCGAGTACAGGAAGGCCTACAGCAGCGTGATGAAGGAGTCTCTCGCGGGCGCCGTGCTCGCCGGCACCAGAGTCGAGATCGAGCTGCGCGACGTGCCGGTGTCGCTGCGGTCGAGCGCCCCGCACCCGTCGTCCATGTTCTCGCTCCTTCGGCACGAGCACAAACACGCCGTGATCAACCTGAACGTGACGCTGCGGTCGGACCTCGAAGAGCCCATCAAATCCAAGGACGAGCTGGTCGTCCAGATCGGCCACCGCCGACTGCTCATCAACCCGGTCTTCTCGGCCGCGGGCCAGACGCCCAACGACGTGCACAAGTTCGACCGGTTCCTGCACCCGGGCCGCACGGCGATTGCGACCTTTACGGGACCGCTGACATGGGGGTCGGTGCCCGTGCTGGTATTCCAACGACGAGCACCTTGCCAGCCATTGGACAGCGGAGACACGACAGCAGCACCCGCGCTAATCGACTCGAACGCGACAACCTCTACCTCAACCTCAGCCCCTACCTCTACGCCGTCATCACCACCTTCCTCGCTCCGCCTAATCGGCACAGCGACGACGCTCCCGCCATCATCCTCGCGCGTCGTGGCCAAACGACTCATCCTGACCGGCCACCCGTACAAGATCCACAAGAAGGTCGTGACGGTGCGGTACATGTTCTTCGACCGGGGCGACGTGCAGTGGTTCGCGGCGCTGCCGCTCTTCACGCGCCGAGGACGCCAGGGTTTCATCAAGGAGCCGCTCGGCACGCACGGCTACTTCAAGGCCACCTTTGACGGGCGCGTCGGCCCGCTCGACGCCGTCGCCGTCGCTCTGTACAAGCGCGTGTGGCCGCGGGGGGCGAGGGTATGGGAGTGAAGATGGACAAGGTAAGGCAAGGCAAGGAGAGGAGAGGAGGCAGAGGAATGGAGGGAGGGAGAGGGGGAGGGTAACGGGTAAAGGGCCCCGGGTAAAGAGTACCGGATGGAAATGATGTGTCTGGTTCGGGCAGGGCTGAGGTTGCAGATGCTGGGCTCGGTTGAGCTGAGGTGGACTGGCCTGGAAAGGTCAAAGGTGGACGGGACGGGGATGAATGTGCAGAGGCACGCGGAAAATGATGACGATGAGCGAGCATGAATGACAAAAACAACGAGATGGTTATGATCATGACAAATCCTTACGCATGAATAGAAGATAGAAAGAAGCATTGTTGGGAGACAGAACCCTCTACACTCAAATGGATCATATACCGTTCGTTGCCAGATTAAACTCCCCCAGACTCTCCCAGCGTCGACGATCCGAAATGACAATATCGGAAAACAAACACCCACGACAGCATCGAGCTCGACTTGATTTCATCGCTGCGGCGGCGTATAAGACTCCAACAATTCCATAACATACCACTGGTTCTTATCTTTTGCGTACTCCATTGCACTCTGGCACACCTTGGAGATGGGTCTAGGTCCATCGTAGTTGTCCAGCAGCAATTTCACCATGTCGATGCGTCCCGTTTCTGCTGCTCCGTCGATTGCTCGTCTGCCCTCTGCGGGGCTTGGATCGGCATCAATCTCAGCGCCATGTTTCAGAAGAATTTGTGCAATGCCCAAGGATCCTTGGATCGCAGCAGCTTGCAAAGCTGTGACTCCAGCCCTAGGCACAGCTGGAGCGTTGACTGCTGCCCCCTCTGATAGCAAATACTGAACGAACTCAACATCCTGCAGCTGAGTAGCAAGTTGAAGCACCGTCCTCCCGAACCGATCACCTGATGGCGCAGCGTTGATATCAGCACCTAGTTCAATGAGTGTGCGAGCACACCGCAGTGCTACGGTGCGTCCGGCATCAATGTGGTAGGCATAACTGAGTGCGGCCTGCAAAGGAGTGTTTTGCTCGGGGGGTCGGCGATTGACGTCGATGTGACAGCCGAGCAGCAGCTCCATTATCTGGGCTCTCTGCTCGGCCTCCTTTATCCCCTCGCATATGCTCCGCGGATCAAGAGTGAAGAATAGAGGATATCCAACATTGACATCGACCCCAGATGATACCAAAAGCCGTGCCATCTGGGTATCCCCCCGGCTACATGCTTCCTCAAGAGCGAGTCGAGGATATTTCCTCCACGACCAGTTCTTTGTGGTCGCACATTGGGCCTCCAAGTATGGATCTGCTCCATGCTGAAGCAATACTTTTGTCATTTCAAGGTCCAAATTTGCGATTGAAGCAATTATCGGCGATGACGGGTGACGATTGCAGGCGCCAACATTGACCTGAGCTCCATGGTCGAGAAGAAATTCGACAGTGTCTCTGCGTTTGGCTTCTACCGCGAGTTGTAAGGCGGTTAAGCCGTTAGTGTCTTGAGAATATTCCTTATCTGAGTCAGACTTGTTTACGTCGGCGCCAGCATTGCACAGAATGGTTACAGCGCTCAAGTTGCCCATAGCAGCTGCCCAGTGGATGGGAGGTAAACAGCCGCAAATCTGTCGATCAAGTAACTCCGTTTCGTTCTGCCAGGGGTCGGGTATGCAGGATGCGTCATTAGCATCTGCGCCCCATTCAAGCAAAAGGGACATGAGAATCAAGTCTTGATTCCAAATGGCTGCTATCAACGGCGAGGATCCATCCCTAGACTTGCCGTTTGGAGATACGCCGGCTTTCAGCAACTCCAGTGTCCGGTCATAGTTGTGTTGACTGACGAATCCTTGAAGAATAGCTATTGAATGATATGAGCAGCAGTCGAGATTGGCACCAGCCCTTTCGTAACAGGTCGAATATGGCCCCGAAGCCTCTTTCTGCGGCCTGTTGAAGCGCTGTGCCTCCCTCTCTTCCGGATGAGCATCGATCCAGATCAGCTCCTGCAGAGATCAATCGCCGAACTATGATTTCATTCCCTGAAGACACTGCTCCCTCAAGGGGAGACATGCTGCAATCTTGCGTGTCGGCCAGGTTGACCATGCCTCCCCGCCCGATCAACATGTCGACGGTCGCCTCTCTCCCATAGTATGCAGAAATCGACAAAGGAGGCGTGCCATATTCTGGGTTCGCTGTTGCCCCATTGTCCAGGAGGTATTCCAGGATGGCTGGATCCTCAAGGCTGGCTGCAGCCTGTATTGGGAAGAGGAAATGAAATGGAGGATGCTCGTCGAATCTATTCCCTGGCCCAGCTGCTATTTCTTGAATGACTTTTTTCCTTGTCCTTTCATCGAGAATGCCCAAGGTCGACCAGTTTGGATCCGCATCATGCGCAAGCAGTAGTTTGACCATGTCCAAAGTCCCATACTGAGCAGCAACCAGGAGGGGAGACATGTAAACCCTCTCTCCCAAGGTTTTCATGAGACGCTCATGTTTTCGCATTATTGGCCCATTTTGGTCTGCACCATAGTTGAGGAGGAGTTTGACCATGTCGGCATTGTCAGAACATACCGCTGCGCAAAGAGGCGTCACCGACGCCCTGGAAATCTCTTCACCATGATAGTATGAGAGGTCACATTCATTGACCGTCGCCCCAATCCGAAGAAGCATCTCGACCGTTTCACCCTAGCACCGTAACGGATGGCACTCACAATCACTGGACCAGCTGGTGCTGTTATATGTGACTTAAGGAGGAGAGGGATGAGTTCGACAGTTCTTCGTGAAGCGGCAGCAGCTGTAATGGCACAACTTCGTCGTGCCCGCTCACTCTCGCAAGGACAGTAGTACCCAGGAAATTGTAAATGGTCTGCAGCGGTGCGGTCACCCGAAGTTGCGCGTGATGGACAGGAGGGATAATGTTCCAGTCGACCGTGTGTTCTTTCTGAGGTTACAACTACGCCAGCATCAACAAGTACCTCAATAGCGCGAACGCTTCTCGACAAAACTGCCTCCACAATCAACGTTCTCGAGTCGAAGCCAGTGGACCACTGATTCACATTTGCCCCATTCTTCACCGCACTTTTCACTAGGTTCGACTTGTCCAACCTCACGGCTGCAAACAGGAGTTCGGATATGATGGCGCGAGTGCTGGGGTCCTCTCCCAACCGGAGCATTTCAAAAGCACTAGAATCAGCCATCTCGTCGAGAGCTATGACAAAGGCTTTAACTTCGTCCCGCGCCAGAATATTGTTGGCGAGCAAAAGTGCGGCGAATGATGTGAAGATTTGCATCCTCATTGTCGATTGGGGGTCTATTAGTTGATTGACGACGTTTTCGGTCTCCCCAGGCCATCTTTCGGGCATGTATGTTGCGAGGTGAGCCATGATATATGCCAAAATCTCTCGGCTAGACCACCATGGTGATAGATTCAGGAGGTTGGTAATCCCTGCACTGACGATGTTACTGTCTCTGGAAGCCTTCTGTATCTGAAGACGATGATGTGCAAAGTCGGGATAAGGAAACGAAGGTTGATCCGTTCCGGTCTCCTTAGTGAATCCGAGAATATCTTCTCGCCAGATTTCATTGTACCCCAATCCCAGTAAATCATCGCTGATATCAAGGACAGCGGATGGCATAGGTGACGGAGAACGACTTTCTTTCCTTGCCCAACTTGTCATGGCCAATTCGAGCCGAGTACATATCTCGTGCCATGGCAGCGAGATGAGGAGACATCGGGGTATCTGCGTCCTTGGGCGGATGAATATCCCTTCTGGAGTTCGAGGCCTCACGATCGTTTGCATCAACGTGGGAGGGTCATTTCTCGAAAGCTGCCTCTTCAGTCTTTTGTTTGGAATTAGCTCCCCATCCAAGAAGACATCAACATCGTCAACCAGGAGATTCTTGCGTTTAAGGCCCAGGATGAGGTCTTTCCAGAAGGCACTTGTCCGTTTCTTCTGAACGTGCCAATCTTTGAAGCGCCTCATGTATTGAGGCTTGCTATTAAGAAGGTGAGCTGAAATCTGAGCCGTGTCACGAAAGTCAATACCTTGCCTTGAAGCCATGCTCGGTGGACATCACCTCTATCAATTCGGTCATGGGCATGTCTTCGTCCTTATACAGGCGACAGATGGTCGGCTTGTGTTTCTGCCAATCGGCATCGGAGATTTTGTGAGACACTGCCATGGTGCCGACAGGTGAGTGGGAAGCGTGAGAGGTAAAAGGATTGTGGCCGAGAAGGAAAGACGACCATGCAGATGATGGTGCACCATGGTGGCTTTATAGCATCCAGGAAGTGAGACGGCTAAATCGATCAGGCTGCGGGTTTCGTAGTATGTGCCTTGTTGGCAAGGCACCTCGTATTCTGTGTCGTCCGGGCGCGGTCAAATCACGGTTCTGATTCACTATTGCCAGAAGTTGACCTGAAGCGCAGAGGGAGGAAGCTTGGTTCTACCCAGAAAATGCGCCCCCCCGCCAGCCCTTGGGAGCAGCTGACTGACCAACTGACCGGGGGAGTGATTGGCCAGGGACGGAGTTTCGCCAGCCCAAGATTCGTTGACCTTACCTGAAGAAGTGTACTTCAAGTAGTGCCCACCTCTTGCCGCTCGCACGCCCACCAGTGGGTTGTATTGCTGTTTGTCCTTTCATGTCTTGGTGGTGAAGTGAAGTGCAGGGCAACGCGGAGGTTGTAAGGTGCGTCCACGGAAATGTTTGGCTTGCGAAGATAATCTTGCTTGTCTCCCCTCTCACATCAGAGAAGCAAGAGAACTTGCAGGTCGACGGAATCGAGGGCGAGGAAAAAAGTCAACTCGTGTGGATGTGACGTACAAGGCTGAGCTTCAGCCTCACCGCATTCTCATCCGTTGCTGTCTACCGAGTACTTCGGCCGCAACGCAGCATCATCGCTTCACTGCCCGTCTCTGCAACATCTCGATATCCTTCCTGACCCCTTCCATCTCCTCTTCAATCTCTTTGTACCTCTTTCCCAACCTTCCCATGATGCTCGCTCCGGTATCAATTGCCTCGTACTCGGCCAGTACGCTTTCCAACGAACCGATCCTGTTATCCAGCCCATCCTCCTCCTTTTGCACCTCGGCCATCTTCTTTCTGATCACTTCCTTTCGCCTCTCCGCTTCCGGAGAGAACTCAAAATCTTTCCTTGCTTCCAGGACAAGGACCTGCGCCTTCAACGCCATCGCCTGTGCTACGGTGTCCAGGAAAGCAATCTTCGACATTGTGTAACGAGACAGGACGCCGTGCTTGGAGGTTTCGAGGTACTGGACCTGCAATTGCAGAAGCTGGCGCTGAAGAGTGACCAGCTGCTGAAGAGTGGCGGTCAGCGTTGTCAGTGATGATGGGAGGACATTTTCGCGGAGGTCGGAGAGGTGGGATAGTTGGGTCTGGACACTTTCCCGCAGGTCCTGGGATACACGCAGGCGGCCCTGGGTGCGCCTAGCTCTGCTCTTGTCTTCGTCTTCTTCTTCATACCCATTCTCCAGTGCAATATCCGACAACACGCAAAGCGACGACTCGAGCTCGACGAGGCGCGAAGAGACCGCGTCAGCGATAGGGCCCATGTTCATCTTGAAGCGCAGGATATCCTCGTAGAGAAGACCTTTTTCTAATTTATCATCCTTCCTGATGTCTTGTTTCTCTCTCAGCCCTCTCTGGCGCGAGTGAACCTCATCTGACGACGACGAGGAGAAGGGGGATCCCGACCCGTCAAGCATGAGGTGTAGATACGCGGCAATAACACGAACAAGTTCTCCCAGGTCTGGCGGTATAGATTTCCCAGGGGACCGCTCCGTGTCCACATTGTCTGTTTTACCGCTTGTCAAGGATGAATTCGCCGCCGCCGTCTGGCCCTGGAGATTGGAGATCTGGTTCGTGACATCTAACATCTCGGCATTCGCTACTGCAGCTCCTGCGTAGGGCGGAGTCGTGGTCGTGGCGGCGGAAACCGATATGTGACTCTCGCTCCTCTGATGACTGCGCAGCGGCTCTGACCCGGGGGATCGAAGATGAGATTCACTCGCTTCGCCGTGGCTTTGACCAGCTGAGGAATCAAGACAGGCGACATCATCGAGCACGTCGCGGAGGATACGTCTCTTGACCCTGGCGACCCTGAGGGAGTGGAGTTGTCGATCAAGGCTCAAAGGTTTTTGTTGGTGTTTCCCATGCCTGCCTGCGCGACCCTCGTCATCTTCGATGTCGTCGTCTTCTTCCTCACCTTCTTCACCATCGTCATCCTCAGCCTGGCCGTCAAGTTCTTGTTCCTGATCCAGCCCTTCTTCTTGCCCATCTCCCTCTCCCTCTCGAGAACCACAATACCGAACCGAACCTTCTTCACCCACGCCACCATCGCCCACACTCCTCTGTCCACCCCTCCTCGTCACCCTCATCCTCTTCTCCGCATTGATCCTCCTCCTCCTCCTTCTTCCAACTCTCCACGCCCGCTCCCTCTCCTCCTCTTCCTTCCTACTCGACGCGTCTCCCCCCACCAACAACTCCTTGGTGACGTACTCCCACAACCTCGCAAAGGCAGGGTTCGCCTCCAAGTCAGACGCCGCGATCAACGGGATCATCCCTGTTGTCTGCCTTGGAAAAGCCTTTCTTTACCTGCTTGCCTTTCTGCCTGTCTGTATGCCTATCCTCGATCTCTCTTGGCCCCTTCAGACCGGCCTCTCTGCGTCTGGCACACCTGACCACCTCTAGCACCACGCGCGTCTCTCCCGGTCCTGATTGGGGTTTGTCGACCCAGCCGGCTAGCCAGCTAGCCAACCAGCCAGCCAGACCACAAAACTGAAGTCTTACACGCCACCCCAGCCAAAAGACACCACCGCAAAAGACGAGGCAAAGACCCCCAAATAGTTCAAGAGTCCGACGCAGTTGGGCTCGCACACGCAGCGACAGCAGCACAACACCAGCACATATACAAATGTGACGGACGTGGGTTTTGGCTCTGCAAAGAAATGAATGGTCAATTCAAAAGTGGAGCGGGAATTTAAAAGAGCCAGAAGCGATTGGCTAAAAAAAAAAGAGAAAGTACTGGCGTCGCAGACAAAATTTCCTTGGATACCTGGTGCTCGAATATGCAAGTACCTCGTAGAAAGGGAGCAGAAGACGGACTTTATTAGATGCTACTGTTTCTTTTCATTCTTTTTTCATTCATTTCATTTGCGTTTCTTTCCAGTTCGAGCGCAGCGTCTGCCTTCTTACTCTCTCAGCGAAATGGGATATTGTCTACAAACGTGAAGCGCCAATCTCAACCATCGGGCGAAACTTGCTGTGTGTTTCGACTCAATTCCCGACAGCCGCACTTTGATAATAGATCTGTGCGAGTTTGATCACCATTGGTCCCTCTGTTCGGTTGCGCAAGCAATTTTGGTCTTCGTTTCAGTCATTGCTGAAATCCATGTGGGATTCCCCCGTCATTCATCGAGCTGCCCAACGATACCAATGTAGGAAAAAAGGTCTATTCCTCCTCGCTCTCCTCTGAGTTGTCATCATCGCTGCTGTCGCCCGTCTCTATCGAAGGTACGGCATTGGGGGAAATCGGTCCGGCGTAAGCTCCCAGCTTGCCCTTCAACTCCTCAATCTGTGCCTCCTGCTCATGTTTGCTCATGGGCTTGCTCTTCTTGCTTTTCTGATGAGCCGGCGCATGGTAGGCCTCGGCAGCATGTTCCACTTTGGGCTCATCTGGAGGGGGACCGGCATATTTTTTGACAAAGCCGAGTAGCTTCAGGAGTGCGCTGTTAGGGACTTCCTCGATATCCAGCTCTATTTCGTTCTGATCACTGTTGGCCAAGGATGGGACGCTCTGCTGAATGATGCGCAAGGCTTCCTGCATTTGTTTCTCCGGCAGCATGGCAATTCCGTTAGAAATGTACTGCTTCTCGGCGAACGTGACATATCGGTCTTTCTCTTGCTTCTTGGATTGGGGTTTCTTCTTTTCCTTCTTGTCCTTGCTGGGTTTGGAGACTGCGCCCTCGGATTTCTCTTTTTTGGGTTTCGACTTGTCCTTCTTCTTCGTGGGCGGCGATTTGGATTTCTTGACCTTCTTTTGCGTCAATTCACCCATCTGCTTCGACATCTCCTCAATTTGTGCCTGCAGCTTTTTGATCTTTTCGTTCCGCTCCTCTTCGCTATCACCCTCCGCTTCATCTTCGCTCTCCTCTTCTTCCTCTTCGTCGTCATCCACATCCGATTGCGTGACTGATGGTGGTTCCCGCGCAGCAAGCCAGTCATCCTTGGTCGCCCATTTCTTATTGAACAAATCCTCCAGCTGATGACCAGAAGAGTTGACCAAGTCGCCTTCAGGGTTGAATTTGTAGCAGTTTTTGAATATTAGCCGGATGTCCTCCTCAAAGTCCTTGGCCTTTTCGTAAGCGTTGTTCTGGAGTTTTGTCTTCACTGTTGTCAAATCCATCGGCTTCTTGATGATCTGGAAGTATGTTGGGATGTTCAAGGCCACCGGATCCACGGGATACATGAAGTATTGGTTTGCTTGCCAGTGCTTGGCGTTCATGAGCTCCTTCAGAACCTCATCGCAGAACTTCAGTTGCAACTCATACTTCTTCTTCCTGGGTCTGCCGCCTCCAAACTCCGAGTTACGCTTAGTGGGAACAATGGCTCTCTTGGGTCGGCCATCTGTCAAACTCGAATCGCGTCGAATCAGAGGCATCCCATCAGGATTCGGTGCGAAAGCAGGAGTTGGGGGAGCGGCCGAGCTGGGTGAACTAGCTGCGCCGACATTCGGCGTAGATGTACTCACGGACGGTCGTCGCGGAGGCGCTGTTCTCGTCGGTTCTTGCTTCTTGACTGCTTTCTTAACCTCTTTCGAAGGCTCTTCGATGCTAGCTTTGGGCAGGTTCCTCATTTGGCCATCAAACGATGCCTTCATTTTTCTGGCCTGTTGTGAGACTCCGTGATCGGGCCCGTTGAAAGTGAAACAGTTGTGCACAATCAGTTCAAAGTCAGCCACAAATGTAGCCACCGACGAATATTCGTTGTGCTTCAACCGCTGGTCAATTGTGCCTAGATCCATGGGTTGTTTGATGATCTCAGGATATGTCGGGATGTTGAGTGCGACATAGTCCACCGGTAGTCTGAAAGGTCCAGACGCATTGCTCTTCTTTAGATTGGAGATCACTTTCTTCATGTGTGCCAGACGCGCTGGTGTAACC